TACCTCCAAAATCCACCCTCCTCTCCGCCCTCCCTGCCCAGCCTTTAGGAGGCCCTGGGGTCTCTGACCAGGACCACAGCCTCCTCAGGGCTCCACAGCCTCCAGCCCTCTGCCTCGCTGCTGACCTTAGCAGGACGGTCTCCTGCTGAGAACCGTTCAGTGGCCACCTTCCCCTCCAGAAGAGTCTAGACCCCTCCTGGAGGCCTTCAGGGCTGTGCAGAGCTGGCCAGGCACCATCCAGCCTCATTTCTGGTCATGGTCCAGGCGTCCTCACCAGCTGAGAGCCCTAATTCACAGCACTCCACGTCCCAGCACCCCACCTCGGCCTCCCTGATGAGGCCACCACATGACTTCTCCTGGGGGTATCCCCATCCTGGGCTTGGGGCAGCCCCCTCTTAGGGCTCCAGGCCCCCATGACAGCTCCCTCTGTGTGGCAGCCGGCACGCAGCCTCCAAGGGTCAGCCTCACCCGCTGGTGCTCGGGGAAGCCAGGGACTGGCCCGGGGCAGCCAGGCTGAGCATCAGTAGACAGAGCTGATGCACTTAGGAGTGACAGTATCCCCACCACAGGGGACACGGAGCTAAAGGAACTCACCCTGGGTGCCAGCAGCAGGTAGAGCAGCGGGGTCTGACTCCAGGTTAGGTCTCCTCATTACCCTTGTGCCGTGCCCCGGGGCCGCCCAGGTCTTCCCCACCCTCTCTGTTCCCCACTTCTGCTCTCACAGCTGCTCCAGGCCTCAGCCTTGTGGCCGGGCCGTCCTGGGCCCTGTCCTCTCCATAGTCAGACTGACCTCCTGAGCGGCACGTGGTGGCCTGGTGGGGTCTGAGGAAGCCTCCCCCGCATCATACCCCGCAGCCGGCAGCCCAGGCCCAGGTTCTTGCCCCGCACTATGGTGGGCCTGGCTTCTGCTCTATCAGGGTCTTCCTGCTGCCCTCCCAGGAAGGGGCAGCCCCAACCCCCAGCAGGGAAGGAAGATGAGGAGCCCCCGAGTCACTGGCCCTGTGGGCCCTCCACTGATACCACAGGCTGCTCTGCCGTAACTTCCTGTGGGGGCAGGGCCTCCACACCCAGGCTGGGCCCCTCACCAGCCTGCTGAGAGCTTCCGCCAGGGGGAGGGAGTGTGGGAGCAGGCCCCTAGGCCACCTAGACCCCCTCAGAGCTGAGCAATGTGGCTTCAGCCTCATCCCAGGCAAGACTACCCCTTCTGCCCCTAGAGGTGGCAGAATGGGGGATCATGGCTGAGTCTGATCCTTAGCAGACCAGCTGGAGCAGAAGGGAGGGAGGGAGTAGGGTGGGAGGGAGAGGAAGTTGGGGAAATGTCTTTTTTGGAACCAAATGATTAAGCTAATGCCTGAGTCACCGTGACACCATTATCAAGAGCCACACAGCAGGGATGGCCCGGAAGTGCCCGGAGACGCCCATGGCGGCCACCCATGGTGCCGGGGGCCGAAGGAGGGCAGTGGACACTCACTGATCTTCTCCACGATCTTCAGGAGCACCCCACCGATGTGTGACTCCCCGGTGACCCGCAGGGTGACCGACTCGGCCTCCGGGTCCTCCTCTCCCACAAACACCTGCAGCTCCCAGGAAGAGTCGATGTAGTCCCCGGAGGCGGTCTTCATCCCCGCCATGGCTTCGGCTGCTTCTACAGAGAGCGGGAAAGGAGGCAAGGTGGGCAGAGGAGCTCCGTGGTGCCCTGGACACACCCAGGAAGGAGGGGGGAGCGAGCCCCAGGCCAGCACGCAGTGGTATCCTCACACCCTCTCATCAGCGCTGGTGCTTGAGCTGAAAGGGCCCTCAGAGACCATGGAGTCCAAACCACTCCCATCCTATAGGTGGCAAGACTGAGGCTGGGTAAGAAGGGACTCACTCAGGACCACCCTGCTCGATGCCAGAGTTTGGCATGGCCCAGGGGTGGCTTCCCCAGCCCACAGCTCACCCCAGACCCACAAGGGCAGCTGCCCACTCTGGCCATGACTTTGTACCCAGGCCAGGAAGTAGTTTCAATCCTGGCCCACAGCTCAGATGCCAACATGACAAACCAGCCAAAGCCTCTTGGGGAGGTGGAAAGTTCAGGCTGCCTCGTGGTGACAGGCAGGCTGGGCAGAGGCTACCGGAGGTCGAGGAAGAGAAGGGCCTGGGGTCCCAGTGAGGCCCGAGCTTACCTTTCCTGGCAAGGGCTGCAGGCGGGTCTCCAGTACTCCCCTGCGGGCCGTGGGCTCCCTGCCCTCCTTTCTCTTTGGAGCTTCCTTCAGGGCAGCCCTTGCCTCTCTGCTTTATCAGCAGGGCGGGCTCAGCCCCTCCCCAGGGCGGGCTGGCGCTGGGTGCAGGAAGCACGCTGCCAGCCCGCAGAGGGCTCCAGGGGCCCCCACCTTTGTCCCCAGAGAGCACAGAGGAGCGGAGCTTAACTACTCAAAACCATGAAAACGTCCCCTGCCTCATTGGAGGGAAGCTCAGTGAAACTCAACAAGCTCCCCCTCGCCCCCCGTTTGCATTCAGGGCTAGGTCCGCCTTTGTGGTAAGCATCTCCCATCCCCAGCCTGTCATGAGGTGGGGACCTCAGGCTTTAAAACATCACTGGGCTGCCAGAGGGAGAGCCCAGGAGCTGGCAGAGTGGATCCAGGTTATTTGGGACTCACAAGTCTAATCAGCTCCAGCCTGGCTGTCCCTGTCAACCAAGGATCCCTCAAGGCTCCCCCTGCAAAGGGAAACAAGTCCATTTTGCAGTTTTTCCTAGCTCCACATTGGGCTACTTCCAAACTCATGAACTCAGACCTGCCAGGTGACCGAGTGAATGGAACTTAGCCCTGACCATCTGCAACCTCCCGGGCCCTCAGGGCCTCCAGCTCCAAATGCGACACCTCCACTGTGCTCCTCCTGGATGCGCCTCCCCCAGTACCCAGAGGCTCACTCCCATCACATCAGTGCTTAGATGTCGCCTCAGGGGTCTCTGGTGGTCTATCACCCTCCTGCCCATCACCTGCCCTAGGATGTGGGCTCCAGTAGACCAAGGCTATGTCTGCCACCAGCTCTGCACAGGATGACAGCCTTCCCAGGGAACACACTGGGGGTTGGAGCACAGAAGGTGGGCAGGTCTGGGGGTGGCAGAGTCCTGTTGAGTGGGGACTGCCTGACTGGGGCCACCCAGATGGGGAAGGGGGCCTGCTGGGGATTCCCAGGGGAAAAGTCAGCTGACGGAACCAGCAGCAGGAAGTCCAGCCAGCTGCTAGCCTCAGCGCCTTCCTAGCCCAGAAAGCAGCACTCTTGGAGCAAATGAGGAAGTTTCACTCCTGCCCAAGAAGCCTGCCCAGTCCAGGAAGAGAGCTTTAGAAAACGCAGTTTGTTGCAACCATGGAAAAGTCTAATTAAAGCTTAGCACCCTAAGTTCTCAGGTGAGAGCTGTGCATTCTTCTTTTTGAGACAGAGTTTCACTCTGTTGTCCAGGCTGGAGTGCAATGGTGTGATTTCGGCTCACCACAACCTCTGCCTCCCAGCTTCAAGTGATTCTCCTGCCTCAGCCTCCCAAGTAGCTGGGATTACAAGCAAGTGCCACCATGCCCGGCTAATTTTATATTTTTAGTAGGGACAGAGTTTTTCCATGTTGGTCAGACTGGTCTTGAACTCCTGACCTCAGGTGACCCACCAAGCTGTGCGTTTTTTTTTGTTTTGTTTTTTTGAGACAAGAGTTTCACTCTTGTTACCCAGGCTGGAGTGCAATGGCGCGATCTCGGCTCACTGCAACGTCCGCCTCCTGGGTTGAAGCAATTCTCCTGCCTCAGCCTCCTGAGTAGCTGGGACTACAGGCACGCGCCACCATGCCCAGCTAATTTTTTGTATTTTTAGTAGAGACTGGGTTTCACCTTGTTGACCAGGATGGTCTCGATCTCTTGACCTCGTGATCCACCTGCCTCGGCCTCCCAAAGTGCTGGGATTACAGGCGTGAGCCACCGCGCCCGGCCTGTGTGTTCTTTAAAACTATCACCCAGCAAGGCACGGTGGCTCATGCCTGTAATCCCAGCATGAGGATTTGAGAGGTTGAGGCAGGTGGATCACTTGAGGTCAGGAGTTTGAGACTAGCCTGGTCAATATAGCGAAACACTGTCTTACTAGAATAATTAGCTGGGTGTGGTACCGGGCACCTGTAATCCCAGCTACTGGGGAGGCTGAGGCAGGAGAATCGCTTGAAACCAGGAAGTGGAGGTTGCAGTGAGCTCAGATAGTGCCGGCTCCCTGCACTCCCGCCTGAAACTCAATCTCAAATAACAAAACCAAAACCAAAACCAAAAAATAAATCCATGACACAACTCCTACATCTAACAGCAGCTGACGGCAGAGCTGCCTCTCCCCAGAAGTCTCAGCATCTCACATTAGAACCCTGATTCTGGCCAGGCAAAGTGGCTTACGCCTGTAATCCCAGAACTTTAGGAGGCTGAGGCGGTGGATCATGAGGTCTGGAGATCGAGACCATCCTGGCTAATACAGTGAAACCCCGTCTCCACTAAAAATAAAAAAAAATTAGCTGGGCTTGGTGGCATGCACCTATAGTCCCAGCTACTCAGGAGGCTGAGGCCGGAGAATCACCTGAACACGGGAGGCGGAGGTTGCAGTGAGCAGACATCTTGCCACTGCACTCCAGCCAGGGCAACAGAGTAAGACTATGTCTCCCCCCCAAAAAAAAGAACCCTGATTCCTGGGTTGGGCCCACTGAGCTCTGGATCTAGCCAGTTTCTCTGAGATTGTAACGTGAATTCATAGCACTAGAGTTACCCCAAAGCTTATCTGAGCCTCTCATTGGTACCACTTGGGATGGGGAGGCTTTCAGATTCCCTTCCAGCTGCTGAGCAACAGCGCCACCTGGCAACCCTCTCAGCAAAGCCAGGGAGCTCTGCCAAGCACCAGACTCCTCCTAGGCCCACCTCAGAGAGAACAAGCTCAGGTTCCAGGAGCAGCCCCTGCCGGACCAACTTTCAGTTAAAAAAAAAAATCACTCAAGGCCAAAGCAACATATAACCACGCCCAACTGGCTTGTTTTATTGGAGAAGGGGACGTGGAATAAACATGAGACAGCTGGGACCTGAGGCTGGGAAGAAGCCCCTTCCCTCCCCATACATGCCCACTGCCCCAAATAAAAAATAACCAACTATGGGAGAGCAGCCGAGACAGCGACTAGGGGCAGGGGAAGGAGACACGGAACTCGAGGGCAGCGGTGAAGAGACCATGCGTGTGCTGGGAAGGCCCAGAGGCAGCGGCGGCACGAACAGTGCCAATACAAATCTCTGTGTCTTCCTGGGGTTATGTATAAATATAGAGATGAGGCCTTCTTTCCCCCTGCTCTCCCTTCCGCTCCGTGCTGCTCGCCGCGGTCCCAGCTCCTCTTTCCACATGAGGGCGAAGGGAAGGGGGGATGAACAAGTCATCACCGAATTGCAATCAGACCCACATCCATCAGCTTCTGGATCTTCTGTGCTATTACAGGATTCTTTAAGTGTCTACGGAGGAAGAGGCAGTTATATGAAATGAGACAACCTTGCTCTCAGAGCAGGCTCCAATTCAACCCCTGTTCACAGAAGGCCCCAGCAGGGAGGAGTCTTGGCGAGGCCAGGCGCGCAGACCACAGAGGCCTGCTCCACCTTGCAGAACTTGCCAGTCCAACTCCAAGCCCACACCACAGCTTCCAGCCAAGACCTTTCTCTCAGCTCAATGGGCCTTTCCAAATGATTGCTTAAGCTATCACAACTAACAAACAAAGCCCTTCCAGCTTACCACCCGCTGCCAATCTCCATAGGCTTGGGAGGAATGATACAATTCCTCTTCCTCACAGACCGAGCATAGCCCTCCCAGCTGCGTGCACTCCCATCTGCCTGCTTTTGTTCCTCATGTCTGGCAAAGCTGCCTCGCTGACTCTACGTACTCGCTGAGTGCCTGGGGGTCCTTCTGCATCTGTTCCAGGATAAGGCGCATGGCTGGGTCACTCATGATCTGCTGCACCTCGGGGTCGGCCATGGCTCGTCGCTTCACATCTTCGGGGCTATCATGCCGGTTGTACTGCGCCATCATACAGCGCTGGTAGCCATCTGCCGCCTCCTGCAGTCCAGAGGAAACAAAAGGGAAGAGTGTGACCACCACCCGGCTCACTACTTCAGCAGGCCCAAGATAACAGGTAACTGACAAGGGGATAGACAGCAAGTAAGAGACAACCCCAGAGAAATGGAGGCGACAGGGAAGATACCAGGGACTGAACACGGAAAAGACCCGGCAGAAAAAGAGGCAGAAGGAGACCCCTGGAGGCCAGAAGCAGCCCCACCTTACAGCTGGAGTCCAGGTCGAGTGCCTTCTGGTACACATCCATGGCTTTGGTGTAGTCCTTCATCGCTTCCAGGGCAGCGGCTTTCCGGGTATAACCCTTGACTACAAGCAGGAGAGGTGGCACGTTATGCACAAGTAGCGTCCAAGGCTGCTCCCTGCACCTCTTCACCTGCACACCAACACTGTTCACGCCTGCTGATGCTGGGTCCTAAATGCTACAGGTCCCAAGGACACACAGGTAGACAAAGGACTTGCCCTTTCCTTCTCTCATCTTTAGGCTAGAAACAGGGGACAGGCAGCAAAAAGGCACTTACTAAAGGTCGGCTCCAGCTGGATACATTCCTCACAGTCCTAGGAGGAAGCGGCAAAAAGAAATTAGGCTCATTCCCTTGGACGAGCTCACTACAGGCAGCTCGAGCATGCGGAATTCCAACTCAAGCCTGACCAAGCACCACACAGAGGTGACACATCAGGAAAGACAACTCCAGATGATGGAACATCCCACACAAGACAAACGGCCCAGACTCTGCAAGAGGTTGATGTTATGGAAATACACGCAAGGGGGGAACAATTCCAGTTTGAGAAACTGACGAGTACATGACAACTAGATAAAATGTATGGGCGTTGGTTCTGAGAGCTTTTGAATCCAAAAGCACTGCTGGTTAAAAAACAAAACAGGCCAGGCACGATGGCTCACGCCTGTAATCCCAGCACTTTGGGAGGCTGAGGTCGGGAGTCTGACACCAGCCTGACCAACATGGAAAAACCCGTCTCTACCAAAAAAAAAAAAAAAAATATCTATCTATCTATATTTATATTTAATTTATTTATTTTAAAAATAGAGATGGGGTTTCACCATGTTGGCTAGGCCAGTCTCGAACTCTTGACCTCAGGTGATCCACCCACCTCGGCCTACCAAAATGCTGGGATTACAGGCGTGAGCCACCATGCCTGGCCTAAAAATATTTTAAAAAAATTAGCTGTCCGTGGTGGTACATGACTGTAATCCTAGCTATTTGGGAGGTAGAGGCAGGAGAATTGCTTGAATCCAGGAGGTAGAAGTTTCAGTGAGTTCAGATCATGCCATTGTACACCAGCCTGGGCAACAAGAATGAAATCCCGTCTAAAAGAAACAAATAAAAACAAAAACAAAAAAGAAACAAAACAAGGCGAGGCGCGGTGGCTCACACCTGTAATTCCAGCACTTTGGGAGGCTAAGGCAGGTGGATCACCTGAGGTCAGGAGTTCAACACCAACCTGGCCAACATGATGAAACCCCATCTCTACTTAAAAAAAATTTTTTTTGTTGGGCTACTGGCTGCACCTACAATAATCCCAGCTACTTGAGAGGCTGAGGCAGGAGAATCCCTTGAACCCGGGAGGCAGAGGTTGCAGTGAGCCAAAATCATGCCATTACACTCCAGCCTGGGCGACCACAAACTAATTCCATTTCAAAAAAATAAAATTAAATTAACCCCAGAGTTTCAAAACATATTTTTGGACAAGTGGGCAAATCTGAGTATGGATGGAAAGACAGCAGATGGCATTAGGCCTTGGTACAGGTGAGGTCACCTGTGCTGACAGTGCTGCACTGGACAGGGAGTCTTTTCAGGCAATGTGTGCATGAGACTTGGATGTCTCATTCTAAGTGCCAAATGCATACAATTCTTTCACAAACGGTTCAACAATAACAGGTCAATATTTAATTGTCAAACAAAGGTGGAAGTTTGTTTGTTTTTAAGTAGAGATGGAGTTTCATCATGTTGGCCAGGCTGGTGTTGAACTCCTGACCTCAGGAATTCACTACGTATTCTTCTTTTTGAAACATCTTCCAAGTAAGAAATTATGAAGAAAAGAACATGATGCAGCACACTGAGCACGCCTGGGCCTAATTCTAACCCTTCCACCAAGAAGTCAGCAGAGCAGCAGAAATCCCATTCATTCTTCTTCCACGCTTTCATGACTAGGGAAGTACTGCCCACCTCCCAGGTGACTGACAACCTGCTAGTCTTTGCATCACAAATTGATGTTTTTGACATACCTCTT